CATTTAAGTAAATTATGATAGTTCCATCTGATGGAGTATTACAGCTCATTAAAATAATAACTGTGAAGACATTATGGCAACATAAAGTACTTAAAATCTGATGCTAAGAGAAAAAGCAGAAATCATTTTATTTGTGGCAAGTGTACTTTTATATAAAAATGTCTAGACGTGGATAAAAACAGGAAAGGAAAAAATAACTTAAAAACAGTTTTGACATGACTCTGGAATGGTAGATAATTTTGTTTTCAGTCCCAGAACTAATATTACGATATGACTGCTCAACAAATGTTTTTATTTGCATTCTTTTTTATTGAAGCAGTCAGTTTACAACGTAGTGTCAATTTCTGGCACACAGCATCATGTTTCAGTCACACATGTACATATGTATATTCCTTTTCACATTCTTTTTCATTACAGGTTACTACAAGATGCTGAATATAGTTCCCTGTGCTACACAGTACAAAGTTGTTATTTATCTATTTTATATTAGTAGCTAGTATTTGCAAATCTGAAACTCCCAACTTATCCCTCCTTACCCCCCTTTATCCCCCAGTAACTGTAAGTTTGTTCTCTATGTCTTTGAGTTTCTTTCTGTTTTGTAATAAGTTCATTTGTGTCTTTTTTTTTTTTTAGATTCCACATATAAGTGATATTCTATGGTATTTTTCTTTCACTTTCTAGCTTGTTTCACTTAGAATGATCTCCAGGTCCATCCATGTTACTGCAAATGGCATTATTTTATTCTTTTTATGGCTGAGCAGTATTCCATTGTGTAAATATACCCCAACTTCATCCATTCATCTGCTGATGGACTTTTAGGTCGTTTCCACATCTTGGCTATTGTAAATAGTGCTGCTATGAACACTGGGGTGCATGTATCTTTTCAAATTAAAGTTCCTTCTATCCAGAGTGGGATTGCTGGATCACATGGTAAGTCTATGTTTAGTTTTTTTAAGGAATCTCCACACTGTTTTCCATAGGGGCTGCACCCATTTACATTCCCATCAGCAGCACAGGATGGTTCCTTTTCTCCACAGTCTCTCCAGCGTTTATTATTTGCAGACTTCTGAATGATGGCCATTCTGATTGGTGTGAGGTGATAACCTCATTGCAGTTTTGATTTGTATTTCCCTAATGATTAGCAATATTGAACATCTTTTCCTGCGCCTTCTGCAAATGTTTTCTGAAGGTGGTATCTGAGATGCCTGTTGCTAACGACCAAGTGCTGTCAGATGTGTCGTTACCATCTTCCTGTAGGTATCTGCACAAAGAGACCTCCATCAGAGCCTGGTCTGTGTGGTGGTCTCAGTCGGTGTGGTCCTACATATCTGTGAGAGATGCATTTTCCTGTAGGCCCCCAGAGGTGGCACAAGGAAGAGCGTTAGGTGCCAGACACTGGTGTTAGGCAGGCCTGTGGGTGATTCCCAGCTGATCCATACACAGGCCATGGGACCCTGGGCAGTTTTCCCGAGGTCCTCTGTAAACTCTCTAGCAAAATGCAGGTTCTGAGACCTCCCTGGCTGAGCTGTGATATTAATTCCTAGTGAGGTATGAAAAGTTGTCCACAAAGGCATCAGTAAGTTACAGCTGCTGTTAATATTATGTGGATGCAAGTTAAATGTTTGCCGTCAGAATGTAGATGGTCATGGTACAGTTACGCAGTGGCATATTTTCAGCTCTCGTTTAGCTTTAAATTGCTTATGAGACAGATCTGTTCTGGCCAGGCAGGTGTCTGCATCATCAGCCACCCAATAACTGGTTTGGGAGAGCGAGTTCATTCACTGGACCATGTCACTGCCCTGCTTAAAATCCTTCAGTGATTACAGATGCCTATAAAGTCAAGTCCAAACACATGGCCACTGGGCCCTTTCAGGCCGGCCCAGCACTCAGTGTTCATCTCCTGTGACTTCCAGCCTCACACTCCACACTGTAGGAGTACTCAAGCCCCTACGATCTCCGCAGTGAGTCATGATGACTCTTTACCATCTGTCTTTGCACATTCTGTTCCCCTCCTCAAAACACCCTTCCGCCTCTACTGACGTCTCCTTCCTGGGAACTCCTACCATTTCTGCAAGACCTAGTCTAAAAGAAAGACTTCTCAGACCCTCGTCCCTGCCCCCGGGTTAGGGCCCCTCCTCTAGGATGCAGGATGCCAGTCGCCCAAGTTCACTGCACTGTCTTGGCTGGCTATCTGCTCTATGAGCTTCCTGAGGGTTAGAGCTTTAACTTCATCCTCTCTGTATCCCTGCTGCCCAGCACAAGGGTGGGTGCAGAAAGGACGATCAGTCAACACCTACGAAATCAACGAATCAATTGGCAGCAAATAGCAGTGTTTCACTTACACCGGTATTGAGAAAGATGCTGGCAAAAATCAAACAAGTTAATGTTTCACTGAGCTGGAAGCCGGCAAAATGAGAGTCCTAACCTGGTATTTCAACCCGCCCCAAAACAGGTAGTTGACCTTGAGCCTGACCACTCTTGGAATGAGGAACAACAGCAGAAAATCAAAAGGTTGGCTACGCCAGATATAACTATATTGCCAATAAATATGTCAAAGCATGTATCCTGGGATAAAGGATCAAGACCAGTGTCGATACAAGGGAGGCAAATTTCCTCTGCAAATTCAAGACAAAGATGCTAAGAAAGTTACCTAAAGGATGACCTTTGACCCAGGCTGTTACCATGAACCTCTAACACTGGGGCTGGTATATACGTTTGTGCTTTCTTCTGGGAAAGGAGTCCCTGGCTTTCATCAAAGAATCCTGTTACGGGCTGAACTTCGTCCCCTCCAAACTTCAGATATCGGAACTCCAACCTCCAACATGACTATATTTGGAGACAGGGCTTTTAAGGAGATAATTCATGTTCAGCAAGGTCATAAGGATGGGGCCCTAATCCTATGGGACTGGTGTTCTTATAAAAAGAGGAAGAGTCAGCAGAGCTCTGTCTCCTCCCGTGCACAGGGGAAAGGCCATGGGAGGACCCAAGGAGAAGGGGCTGTCTGCCAGCCAGGAAGGGGGTTCTCACCAGAACTCAACCCTGCTGACACTTTGATCTTGGACTTTCAGCCTCCAAAACAGGGAGAAAATACATTTCTGTTGCTAAGCCCCCACCAGCAACAAACTGCTGTTTACGCATCTGTGGTATCTTGTTACAACAGCCCGAGCAGACTAATACACGTCCCTTCCCCAGAGTAGACAGGAAACCTTTGACTTGCTGAGAACAGAGAGTTTCTGGCCCAGGTCCTCCTCTCCATCTGTCAATGAGTGTATCTTCTCATAGGGTCTGAGCAACTCGGAATGTAACCGCACAGGACAGAAGTGCTTCAAAAGGGCCAAGCCTGTCCCACATCCACCCCAAGAGGGCCGTCCCATAGCAGAGCACACATTTGAATACTGATTTCACTGTCAAGATCACTTTCAAGGGGCAGGTATAGCTCAGTGGGAGAACATGTGCTTAACATGCACAAGGTCCTGGGTTCAATACCCAGTCCTTCCCTTAAAAATAAATAATAAATAAATAAACCTAATCATCTTCCCCACACAAAAGAAAAATAAAATAATAATTAAAAAAAAGATAACTCTGATTTCCAGAGAGCAGTTCAGGATCACTGTGAACTTGGCTGGGGAAGAGTTCAGCTACATGGTGTCCAAATGCATCCTGGGACACACAGGAGCCTCCTCCACCACCCGTCTACCTCTTCTCTGTCCTCTCCTGGCTCTCCACCTGCCTGTGCTCCAGACTAAACAACCAGGAAGGGCTCAGCCCTCCTTGCATCCCCAGGTCCCTGCACTGGCCCCCGTCACTGCTGTTATCACCACGAATGGTCCCTGGTTATTCAGCGCCACTAGACTAGGAGCTCCTTTAAGAAAGGACCAAATGGGCCTGGCTTATTGAATTACATTGACTGTATTCAGGTGTCTTTTGAGAGGGACTGCCGGGACAAGCATCTGACTATCACCCTCAGCCTTGGTAGATCAGAGACCATGATCTGTGCCCACAAACCTATGCCTGGGCACGGAAAGCACTGCCTTCAGGGCAGACTTTCCAGCCTCAAAGCCAGCTCCGACCAGAGCACATCCCTTCCTCCAACTGTAAAATGGAAAAACGAAAGTACCAATCTCACAGGTGACCACAGACAAAGCCCTAGAACAGTGCGTGGTACCCGGAATACGCTCAGTAGTCCCAGCTCTTGTCTGGGGCAAGCGGAGGCTGGAGAAACCAGTGCAACAGGAAACCGAGCTTTTCGAGGCAAGGAGTTAACACTCTGTGCAGAGCTCTGTACTGATTATATTTACAAGGCACTTCTCGCATGAATTACCAGCGGTTAGTAAGGCAGTAGGTGGTATCACACTTCTCATCTCCTGCGTGAAGAAATAAAGGTTTCAGAGAGTTTAAGTAAGCTGCCCACAGACACACAGCGCTGGAAAAGGGGTTCTGCTAGGTCAAATAACGAGCTCTACCGACCTGAGCATCCAGGAACCCCAGCTCTGGAGTTCTGATGAGGTTGGCCCGCCTGCACCACTCCTCCACCTGGGAGGCTGCCAGCCGCGGGACGCCTTCCGCCCAGCCACAGAGTTTAAACCAAGAAAAGTTTCCTGAGGCCGCCCTGGGCGACTGAGGACGGCAGCATGGAACCTGCCCGAGCACGAGCCCGATGCGTAGTGTACACACACACACACACACACACGCACACACGCACCCAGCCTCCTTCAGCCCGGGCTCTGAAGGAGACCTAGGCTTCCTCGGAGCCGAGCAACATCCAAACTCGCCTCTGAAGTAACTCATCCCTCCTGTTCCCCCCAAGTGAAGCCTTCGGATTCAGTCTCCTCTCGGAATCCGCCGCCCGGGCCCGCGCCCGGCACCGTCCCCGCCCCCAAGGGGCACCGACACGGAGGAGTTGGGTAGAAGCCCGGCGCTCGGCCAAGGGTGACGGAAGGAGGGATGTCCGGCCGATGCCCGAGGGGGCGGCGCGGGGCGGGCGCCCCTCGCCCTCTTACCTTCCTCATTCTCGTCAAACACCGGGGGCTTGTGGGAGTGGTTCCC